GAATCGAATCGTTAAACAGAATCGAAAATGGAATCGGAATCGTTAAAATCTTATCAATACCCATCCCTAGTCCTGTCACTCTTGATATATTTTCACCTGTTTAGCAGGAGTGTGGCCGGTGGAGGTTTGCCTAGTGCCTCAGCGGTCATGTCAGTGGGGGGATCCGGGGTTCTCTAGCATATCGAGACTATCTCTCCACACCATTACATATTCCATATGTACGGGGTATGACCCCCCTTGGTTGTGGCGCGTGGATACTTCTTTAAGACACTCCAGCTCGCCCGGCCACACCCCAGAGCTCTCATATAAAACAGCTGTGTTGTGCGTGTGAGTGACTTTTCTTCAATAGTGCTGTGTGTGTCTGCGTCCGTCCGTCAGGAGCCTGTTTTGGTAGCCTCCCTGGGCGCTAGCCTCTCCCCTGTCATTTCCCTTAGCTTAGTCTCCCTTAGCTGGTTTCCCTCAGCCCCGATTCCCCTTAGCTTGGTTCCCCTTAGCTTTCCCTCGGCCCCAGTCTCACCTAGTTGGTCTCCCGTGGCCCAGTTCCTTCGCCGATTGAGCTGGCATCTATGTGTGTGGTGATCAGGCTGTGTTCCCTCAGCGTCTTGCCCACTTTGCGCCGCTGGGACCTCGCTGTGCTTCAGCCGGCAAGTGAGCATTTTACGGTCTATTAGCCTGTCTGGCGGTCCGCCGCAGCCAGCGGGACTCCGCACATTCTAGGGAGACCGTGCTTGGTTTTTCTAAAAGCATTTAAATGGCTTCCCCCGTCTCATGCCTCTCAGGCTACTATGGGGAAAATCGCTGCCACTGGAGAGGAGACCAGATAGGCAGGCCATGGGCTGGGTCCCTTCCCACACCTGTCTGCTGATTCACTGCTGGCCCCTCCCTCAGCGTCCCTCCCATGGCTCCGCCTTTGTGAGGCCTGGGCTGGTGGAGGTTGACAATCAGGAGGCGATTGTTGAAGAAGACAGTGCGGAGCGGCTGCTCAGTGGATGGGCCCTCGGGTCATGACCAAGGAGGCTGCTGCTACCGGCTGTATTCCTCTGGCATATTGCCCGTGGTTTGCCAGCTTACGCACCACTTGGACCTCGCTGTGTCCGACACATCAGCCAACGAGTGAGTGTTCTCCAGCCCACAGCACCGACTCCTTGCCCAGCATGGGGCCCCCGGCATGGGCCCCTCAGGTGCATGAGCTGAGCCTTGTGTTTGCTCCAGTGTCTCATTCAAGCTGCTCCCCTGTCTGTGAACAGCGTGGGGCGGCTGCTGGGCTGGGTACGGACCTTGGGTTTTCATCCTTGGCTAGGCTCTTCTCTCAGCGGCTGCGCTGCTGCTGCAGGCTGTGTTCCTCTGGCGAGACTCTCTCTCCCTGGCACTGTGTCACTGCTTAGTGCCAGGCGAAGATCTGTCACGAATTGGCTTCTCCAGCTGGCGGCTCCCATCTGGAGCGTCGTCCGCATGTTGCGGGTTTCTGTCACAGCGATAGCCAGCTACCGTGCTCGAGTGGCTTGGTAGGCTGTGCTCCAATGGCGTATTGCTCACGTTCGCCGGCTTACACGCCAGTCGGACCTCGTTGTGGACAGTGAGAATTCCCCAGCCTAGTGCAGTCAGTTTTCTGTCTGGAATGTTGCCCGCAGTGCGCTGTTCACACAACCAGCGGGGCTCCTGTCATTGCACGAGCGGGGTGGCTTCCCGGCTCTGACTGCTGCTACTGCTGCTGCCGCAGCTGCAGGCTGTGTTCCCCTGGCATATTGCCCACGCTTCGCCAGTCAGACCTCACTGTGTCTGATACATCAACCTGCGAGCGTGTGTGTTCCAGCCTGCGTTACCGGCTGTGCACAAGTGTATCGTCCCCAAGTTCACTCTTGCAGCTCCCCTGTCTGTGGACAGTGCTTAGCGGCCGCTTGGCCTTGGGGCGACCTTCGAGTCGCATCCCTAGCTTGGCCCTCCACTCCACTCCAGCAGGTGCACTGCAGCTGCAGGCTGTGTTCCCCTGGTGTGTTGCCCGGATTCGCCGGCTTACGCACCAGTTGGGCCTTGCTTTGTCTGATACCTCAGCCAGCGAGTGAGTGTTCTCCAGTCCGCAGCGCTGTCTCCCTGTCTGGCATTGCCCGCTCCTTGCAGGGTTGCGCGGCCAGTGGGGTCCCCACTCAGCGGCTCAGTGAGCTACGCTTCCTCTCCTCACTCTGCTCCTGGGACTCTGGGTTCCCCAGCTGGAGATCCTTGGGAAGCATGCAATTTGGCTCATCCTAGCTGACCGCCCGTGCTTTCTGGCATGCTAACCGCGTTTGACCTGCTACTGCAGACTGTGTTCCCCTGGCGTGTTGCCCGCTTTGCCGGCTTACACGCCAGTTGGACTGCGCTGTGGTGAGTGAGAGTTCTCCAGCCTGTCTTTCTGTGGCGTGTGTATGTCGGTACATTTGTCAATGGTTCATTGGCACCTTCACTCTCGGCGGTTCGGTTGCACTGTCTCCTCGCAGGGTGCCTTACAGAGTTACCCCGTACTTATGGAATATGTAACGGTGTGGAGAGATAGTCTCGATATGTAAGAGAACGTACGGTTACTGTGTAACCTGGGTTCTCTTAGTGAGAGACTCTCCACCGTCAGGCTGCTCGGAGACGCGTTGAGATCAAACTATCAACAATGTCACGTCTGCACAGCTGGTTTATACGTGAGCTGTGGGGCGGGGACGGGTGAGCCAGGATGTCTTAAAGAAATATCCACGTGCCACGACCAAGGAGGGTCGTACCCCGTACATATGGAATATGTAACTGTGTGGAGAAATAGTCTCTCACTTAGGCTATGTTCACACTGCAGGTCTTAATGCTCAATTCGATTTTTTGATCAAATCCGATTTTTTTGTCTGCTTGTTCACACTACAAATAAAATGTGACAGCAAACGCGCTCTAGTGTGAACCTTCAAAGCGGCCTGCATGCGCAAAAGAAGACATCACACACAACATGCTCTGTTTAGACCCAGAGCAAACTATATTGTTTGACTGATGGCCCTTAATATAAAGACCCAATTTTTGCTTTAAGTTATTTTGTTATTTACAAATAACCTAATAATTATCCTTATTGCTGTTTTAGAGGAGCGGTGCTTCAAAGGATAGTTGCAGATTTCTGTCAGAATCTGCAGATTATACAGTATAAATAAAATGTTCACGTTTATCCAACGTTGTCTTCCCAACAGTTTCACTGACATCTACGCTGGATGGCCAGGAAGCGTTCACATTGTCTTCTCGTGCGCTTCTCCGGAGCTGATAATTGGCGTCTGTCTTGTGTCAATGACATAAAAGACGGATTTAATGTGACATGACCAGCAGTCACTTTCTAAAACATCGGATATGTATCAGATTCAGTACCACATACGAAAGTGACCCAGATCAAATTTGAAAATATCGGATTTGTGCCGTTCACACTGTCACACCATGATTGGATATGGGTCGCATAGGGTCAAAAAAATCTCTGGTTGGTAACATCTTAGTCCAGAAAAAAGTAATTGACATCTATCAGTCTTAAAAGAAAAGCCATTTCTACAACTTAGGGGCTCCAGCAAACCCCCGGTGAGATCCATTACACAAACTGAGAAAACTAGGGACAGTGGTGAACCTTCTAAGGAGTGGCTGGGCTACCAAACAAAAACAATATCTTAAAAACCACAAACCTCATTTGCCTCAGTTAATTTTAATATTCTTGGTTTAACAATAAGAAACAAACTGAAAAATTGGCATCCATGGCAGAGTTTCAAATCCAAAACCACTGCTGGCCAAAAAGGACGCAAAGACTCATTTCACAAAAAAACAAAAACAAAACATTTTCATGTTCTCCAAGACTTTTGGGATAACATCGTGGACTAACAAGACAAAAAGTTTTGGAAGATTTGAGTCCCATTCCATCTGACGTAAAACTAACACAGCTATTTATAAAAAAAGAAAAAAGAACATTGAACCAACAGTCATTCAACAGTCAGACATGGTAGTTGCAGTGTGATATACTGAGGTTGCTTTGCTGCTTCAGGACCTGGACAACTTATTGTAATTGACCGAACCATGACTTTTGCTCTCTACTAGAAAATCCTAAAGGAGAATTTCAATTTGTGTATGAAGCTCACTTGGGTTATGCAGCAAACATGTAAACTGTTTTTGTGCAGTTTGTGACACAATGGGTCTGCTAGAAAGTTACAGCCGCCAAAAGTTGGGTTACATCAAGGGTAGCTGAGATCAATTTAAAGTTGATGATACCAATCAGATTCAGATTTTTTGTGACATCTAACCTTCAACACAGCTGTTTTCACATTATGTTAAATTCAGTGTGATTATGTTGATCGTACCCACTCACCAAATTCTACCATTTATACAAGCTTCACATTGTCTTGCATTTAAGGGCCCAGGTTTTAATTTTAAGTAAAAAAACAACAGAAGTATGACAGAAGAAAGTCGGGATTCACAACCTAGCCTGACAGGACATGAAAAAACTAATTTACTGTAAACACACAAAAAGAGACAAGGTTGTTATGTTGGGAGGGATACGAAGGATCCTGCCACAAAAGTATGCAGAGTTAGTAGCTCTTCATCCCCAGTAGTTCCCTGTGTGGTCTGCATTTTGTGTCTAGTGTTACACAGGACTCATTTAATCCGGCACCTATTACACAGACATAGCCAGGGTATAAGCACAGATATTACTCGCTAATGATGATTTATAGGCTAATTCAAAGCTCTCTGACATCCTAGAAAACACAAAGCAGTAAGATAATATACATTCGTGGGGTTTCACTAAATCTTTTGGCTTTTGGATACATCCAAGTCAGTGACACAGTTTTACTGCCTGAGTGCTTTTTACTTGCACTAAAAAAAATCCATAGGGTAAAAAAATGTAACTAAAACGAGAACCTTTGCACAAATTTTAACGCTATCAAAACAAAAGAAATGTCAGTCAGAGTTAGCAAAGTTCCCACAAACTGTAGATGGAGGATGTGCATGGATCAAGAATAACACTGGCAAAGATGAGGAAGCACCCTGACCTCAGACTGATTTGTTCATCTATTCACGTCTAATGAACATGACTCACCCGTGTTTAGAATGGCTGACTCCACTCTAATCTTGAGTATTATGGCAGGTTACAAGTTCAGTTCCTTAAAAGATCCAGATACTTGGGTGAGGCTAAGGTGAAAGGCATCTGGGTTCAGAGCACACACACACACACACACACACACACACACACACACACACACACACAAATATGATGCAAGAACAGTTCAAATATATATGCAGAGAGGTTAAAATGCACTACTGGAGAAACACATGTTCTAGCAATTTATCCCTCGTGCAAAAAAGCCAAAATAACATATTGCCAGCTTAACAACCGTCAACAGCATGACCAGAGGCCATGTTATTATCAGACTGGTTCTAAGTTTCCTCCACCCACAGAATGGTTTGCCCAGAGCCCCGTTTCTATTTTATTGCTTATACTCAGGCACAAACAAACACATGCTAACACAAAAGCAGTGGGATGAAAATGACTGAAACCACTAATCATTTCAGGACCACTGTGTCAATTCCCACTCAACTTTAAGGAGAGAGATGTAAAGAGAAATACAGAGAGACAGTTATTTGTTCTGTTGAACCTGGTTTCAGCTTCACATCTTAACCCCCACACCCATACATAGAAATAATGTTTGCGTTGATCTTTTCATTTGGCATGTCCACAGTTATGCCATCATCATTGTTGAGCAGGGTGTTAATCTGTTTTGTGGCTAGTGCTCTACACTATTCTGAGAGAAGATTTGGGAATTGATTGGGCAAGACAAACATAGACAGACAGACAGACAGATGGATAGGGAGATGACAAAGTTTACAAACTAACTTGTGATGCAGACCTACAGTGCAGTGTGGCTGGTTAGTGCAGCGTACAGTATGTGGTCCAGTGGGAGTTGACTAGGAGGATAATTAGAGGCTTGTATAAAGTGAAACAGACCTTACAGTAACAAGGCTGTGACTGTGACAGATTGATGGCGTGTAATGGAAGGTTATGACAACACTGGAGGTCTTCCTCATGAATGGATGAGCATTTTACCTAATGTAGTGCAGTGGGTAATGTATGTGAAGTGTCCCTGAGTCTGGGAAAGAACTTTGGGAAAATCCCACGGGGTTTAAAATGTGCACATGAAGCACACATCTGGTTGGTGCACTGAGACATTGCATATTTATAGAGATAACAATTCCCCCCACTTGTTAGTTTAAATAAAACAGCTCAAAAATTAGTAACTTGAAAATTGTTGTAAAGTAAAAACTGG